GGATTTGTTAACAAGCAAAATTTCAGAGCATGAAATTAAGAACGAAACCACTGAGGAAGGCTTCACAGCCAACTGACATCTTTATTTTTTCTGCTGCTCTCTTATGAAACACAAATACACATGAGGGATCAGAAACACATAGAGCAGAACTGAAATTTGTAATATATCCCTCTTTCCTTTGCCCCAGCAGAGTTTAGTTTAGCAAGTGAAAACAGCTCAGCTAGCATGGCTCATTCAGTTCTCTAGGCTGTGCCACATCTGCCACATGCAATGTGACATGTGCTTGCATTTCAAGCCCTGAAAATGAGAACTAACTAGAGTGTTGTATATTTAAAAGCCCAATTAAAAAGGGCAAATAAAATTTTCAGAAGCTTTGTGTTTGTAGAATCTTCAGTAAAAGTAAGAGCAGGCTCTTCAGCTGTGTTTTAAAATTTTTAAACCATCTGCCTTCCTTCATCACTAGTTGGATTTTTTTCCCAACAGAACTGCCCTCAGTTGACAGCAAACCCAGAGAGGTCGTGGATTCTCCCTCACTGGAGGTATTCAAGAACCATCTGGGTGCAATCCTGAGCCATGTGCTCTAGGGTGGCCCTGCTCGAGTAGGGAGGCTGGGCCAGATGACCCACTGTGGACCCTTCTAACCTAACTGATTCTGTGATACCACATACTGACTGACTTTCCCTCAAGATTCATACAGCTAACTATTCCTTTTAGGAGGAATGGGTGTGCATGCAAAGCCCAGCTTGAATATAGGATCAACAATGCCTCTGAACTACCAGCAATACATCGTTCACTAACAAAGTCCATAGCTAGCCATTCCCTTTACATTCCAAGCATGCAGTTGTAAAGGTATGGGCAAGAAGCATTCCTAAGCCTGAAGTGTTATTAGAGTGGTCATCTGGAGGCAAGAAAACAAACATCTCTTCCTACCACCTTAGCCAAATGGGGCACACTAAGCTCACCTGCATTTTTAGTCTCACAAACAAGAAAGACTGCATATAATTTTCAAGCCTCAAAGACAGATTTGTTTCTTCTTATCTCCATGTAAAAGGAAGAGTAATTTTATGAGCAAGGGTTCTAATAAAAACTATCACAGTTGTAAACACCTTTAATGTAAGGTATTGTTGGACAGGCAAGTTTTAATCTACCAGTAGTCCTGGAATTGCAGTTATAATAGCTGTCATTAAAACACTTAATTGCACGTTTGTGATTGTTATTATCACCCAGTTTGGAACTGCTGTCTAGAACAACACATGTACTATAGTGCACCATCTCCACTGCTCTACAAACCAAACCTATATAGTTCCAGTGGGTAGCACCACACTTATTATTGCTGCATTTTCATCAACCACTTGTTAGAAAACTAGAAAAATTTCTTCCTCAAAGATCTCAAAGTACATTTCATTTTACACACATAGAACTTCTCTTCAACAACCACTGAAGCAAGTCCTTTGGACACTGGCTTAGTAGATAAATCATACCTGGCACCTGGCATTTGGACAGGTGGAGGAAAAAAGCAACCCTGGAGTTCAGTTGCTCTGGCAATCCCTCTCTCTGGAGCATGCCAAAGAGCACAGCACTCTTGCTGCCACTACCACACAGATCCTTCCTGTTCTGCCTTTATTACCCACCACAGAAAAATGGTACAAATACAAACCTTCACATGAAGAGATGTCCAGATGTCCAGCCCACTGCCTCGGAACTGCTTTCACTTTCCCACCGCCCCAAAAAGGAGAGGGCCCACATTCCACAACCACTTTATGCAGGCAGCACACTAGCCCTTCCTTGACCACCAGCAACCCATTGCCATCCCCTCACAGTGCAAATATGGACAAGAAAAGGGCTGTTCACTTTTTTTCCTCCTTTTGTTTATTTTCCTGACAGCCATGCTCACTAGAAGCATCCCTGGGACTACAGTGTAAGCTATTGCTATACACTGAAGGTGCACTGGTTCTGGGGCTCTGAAGCTACTGACATGCTGGACCTGAGCAGGAAGGACCCATGCCTGGCCAGGAAATGGTTCTTGGGGAGGCAGACTGAGATTAACAGTCATAGAATCATATGTTATCAAGGTTGGAGGAGACCTCCAAGATCATCAAGTCCAACCAATAGCCTGTCACTGCTGTTTAACCCCTAAACATGAAACCGTATCTTCCAGCACCAGATCCAGACACCTCTTAAACACCTCCAGGGATGGTGACTCCACCATCTCCCTGAGCAACCTATTCCAATACCTGACCACCAGTCAACTAGCTCTCAAAAGACATTAACTCCAAAATTGTGGTGGCCTCAAACTACTAGACAACACACAAAGGTACTGGTTCTCTTTAGTATCTCCACATTGTTCTGTTACACAAAATAGGAGACATAGAGTCAGGGTGCAGAAGATCATTTGAACATTGCTATTCAGTTATCTTATTCTCACTTTGGTGTTAAAAATCTGCAGTCCTACCCAGCAATCTTATCCTGCTATGTAAATCTTTTTAAACAAAATGCCTTATTCAAAGCTGACTATTGTGAGCAGATACCAAATCAGTGTAGCAATTTGCCATCGGCGTATCTTGATCTAATTACGTTCTGGAAAGAATCGAAATAGATCTAAAGAAAATTCAGATAATGGAACAGGCAGAACAAGAAAGGGAAAGGAGGAGCATAAACAAAAGATAAAAGAAGAACAGAGAATAAAGGATAAAGCCCTGAGATATGAAAAATAGGATTAGGTGATACTGAAATTGTGGGGGGTATGTGCAGAGGCACCTCAGAAAGAAAGAGGAACACCAGGGATTAAAAATGTTACCATCATCTAATAAAGTCTATGAAATTCCATGTCAGTCAGAGATGAGAAATTGGTGTGCTTAGGAGTGAAAGTCAGACAATGGGTCTGACCATTGTCCATAATCATAGATTCACAGTCATGTCTCTCCCTGCTGATTCCACTTGCCCAAGCTGCCATCACTGCAAGCAGCCTACAGACATATGCGTTCACCATAGATTGAACTATGCCAATGGGTTTCAGATGCTGCCAATTAAGACATAACTTCCCCTCCTATGGATCTGCCTATGACTGACCACTCTGCCTAACATCCAGCAATACATAGGAATTTAACTGGTGGCACAATGCTCCCAAGTAGGCCAAAGATTCCAAGGACAATTCCAGTACAGGAAACATATCTTGTTTAACTTGGATGATGCTCAGTGGAGTTCTTTGTTCTTTTTAGTACACATCATGACTAAGAAGTCTGTGGGCTCTCAAAAATTGTATTACAATTCCTTTTCTTTCAAGTTAAAGAGTCTCTTTTGATTTAATTTTAATGTCTATTTTTGTAAGGGTACACCAATTTCAGAAAGTCTTACTTTTTCCATGTCCTATCCCAGGATGCAACTTTCCTCAGTACTCTCATGACCCAAATAATTAATGCAAAATTCTATAGATGTAGCAAAATTAATTATAAAGATTTTCTACAATCCTTAGTAAAAATTATTTCCTTAAAAAAAACCCAAAACAAAACAAAAAACCAAACCCCAGGCAGAAAAGGAATATCTTTCCTGACTGTAAGTACACATTTAGAATCCTTTAGTGCTGGAATTAGAAGGGATGTGTGAATACAAGTAGTGTCAAAATACAAAGGATGATGAATGAAAACCCACACCTTTGTAAAGGGAAACAACTCATTGTAATTTGCACCTCTTTTGCAAACATGCCCCTTACAAATAGCTCATTGCAAGGAAACCCATCCAAAATCAAAATACAGCAAATTCACTCCACAAATTATAGCTGCACAACCCAGAGAGGCAATTCTGAAGGCATGAGGTGTGGTTCAGTCCTCCGGTGTTAATATCAAGGTCTTAATAACAAGATATAAAACTCCCTCCAGAGAGAGTGGCCGCAGAGGGCACACATACACTGACCCAGAGAGCACCCGTGTGTGGGGTGCTTTTCAGAGCAGCATCAGGGCTGAGCCACTAACTTAACAACCCAGATGTCTCTCTCTGCTGATTTCACTTGCCCAAGCTCCCACCACTGAAAGCAGACTATATAGCCAGCAGCTTCAGAGCAAGGATCCAGCCTCCTTTCAGGCAGATAAAGGTTGTCTTGAAACAGAAGCCAACAATATTACTGGGCCTAATCAAAGACTTTTTTCACTACTTTTTACAGTCATTTTCTTTGTACATGTGGCACCATCTTTGTTAGGAAGATTTATTGTCTGCTTTTTCAAATTTATCAGTTTGCAATGGCCACCAGATGAACAGATCCTTTAAATCACTCTGTATGGGGAGAGTGTGGACATGTGCCTTACAGTCAAGAGCTTTAAATTCTCCCATGCTGGAAAACCATTTACAAACATCAACCCCAAGCGGAAAAATTTCGAGACAGTTGCACTCAAGACATGCTGTTTACAAAGTGCTCTGTATTATGAAGTTATTGACTACAATTATTCAAACTGAATGTATCCCTTAAAAAGTAAAAATGAGATTTTTTTTCTAGTATCTGAGAAATTAAGACAGTAAGAGATTTACTTGTTGATAACACACCACAAAATAAAGGTTTCAGTCAAGAATCACTTGAATGCTAAACATTGCTATTATAGTTACCACTGCAATTTCTTTTAAATCTATTTACTTCACTATTTAAGTTAGAAACACAAGCCACTGTTGCATCACCCTACAGTACTGGGATCACTGTAGAATATCAGGGAAGGATAACAGGATAGATAAAAGTTCTCTGAAAGAGAAAGCAGCAGAAAGGTGGGGTTGGCCAGCCCTTCATTTGAATGTAAATGTAATTATGAGGCAGGCAGTTAGGCTGACGTCAGACAAGATCTTGGTAAACCATTACCACCAGCACCTGGTAACACAGTTGATAATAAAAGAGGATGAAGTAGAAGATTCCAAGCAGAGTGGCATTATTAGAGAAAACCAAACACAATTATTTTTAAGCAGCATAAAAACATAGGGAAGAACAAGATGTTGTGACAAGGTATTTACAACCTGTGACAACCATGTACGTGAGCTCGCTCTTGGATAAGGACAGCAGCATGTACCCAGGATCTGCAAGGGCTAACAACAACCTGCCAGTGCAAAACTTTGTGTCTACTCCACCCTATTCAGATTACATGGGATACCATCATGTGCCAACTCTGGACACCCACGGACAGCCAGCAGGAACCTGGGGATCCCACTATGGCCCACAGAGGGAGGACTGGAACGCGTACGGCCCAGGACCTTCCAGCACGGTCGCTGCTGCACAGATCAGTGGCTCATCTCCTGGACAGGTCTCCTACAGCTCTGCTGATTACAGCTCCCTCCATCCCGCTGGAGCTGGGGGGTTACCTCCTGTAGATACAATTACTGCACAGCAAATCTCTTCCAACAGCCAAAGGCACAGCTCTTATGAGTGGATGAGGAAAACGGTGCAAGCTAACACTACTGGTAAGTGTATATTCAACTTTCAACCTCAGAAAGCATCTTCTGCTATCACTGGTCTTAGAAATAATTAACTCTACTTGAAGCACATAGGTTGGTGGGTCATTTAGGACATGTATTTAACCTACTGCTGTTTAATGCAGTTTTAACTAAATTTGTGCTAGTTTCCCTTTTTGCCTGCAAAGGCTCTATGGGGTCACTTCGGTGGAATGGCTGGGGTGGTTACACATGGCTGCAGCTCAAGTCCAGGAATCTCTGTTGTGACATCCTGTAAAGCATTTTCTGTGAGAAACACAGTAATCTTGAAAGTGTTATGGAACCATGAATGCAGCAACATTTAACAGTTCCAGGCAAAATATCACAACATTGTTTGGTGCCGCAAGGTAAATATCAATCTAAAATCAGGCTGATCTTTCTCAACCTTGCAGACTTTTCAATAATTTTAAAGAAAGTTATGTGCTTTGATCTAACTGTAGTGATAATGCAATTATCTGCTGCTTTTCCTGTGTCTTTTATTTTTTCTACTCATATCTATTAGGTGAGAAGAAATATTCCTAGAGAAGTAACCTGACTCAAACAGTCAGCAGAGACTATTTTGTTTGCTGATCACATAACTCCTCAGTTAAACTTCCTTTTCATTAAGTTTCACATCAGTTTTACCTGTTTTTCTCACACACCAGAATTTTGCAGCTTTCCACAATGAGACTATTAAACTCACTTTCCTGCAAGTGTGTGTCCTTGTCACTAGCTGCACGCCAGAGGAACCCTCCCCTGTATATTCCCAAGGTGTAAATCGGGTGTAGCAAGGTTTGCTAAATCTATTGTTAAGGTTAAAAGTAGTAAGTGTGTGTTAGGGAGCATCAAAGAAAATGCTGTAAAGAGAGAAGAGCAATTACAATTGGAGCAACCTCAGAAAATCAGCACTGCTGCTGCAGACAGAATTCTCCTTCAATGGTTATTGCTCAGGAGCAAAATTAGCCTGGTAATTGTTTCTTAATTATAAAGCAGACACACACTGTTTTCCTACTGTTAGCCAATACAAAATGCCTAGTGAACACTAAGATATCACAGTGCCATCCTTCTACCTGGAGCCTTTACAAAGGTCTTCAAAGCCAGGCAGATTTGTAGTCTGCTTTTCCCCCCTTATGGATACTCATGTAAATCACAGTAACTTCATTAGCATCATCGGAGATTTCCAGGTGTAGAAATGATGCAAGACTTGAGTGCAGACCAAATTCAGCCAAGACTGCTGAATGCCAATGAGGCAACCCTGTGTCATGGTGTCACTGCATTTTAAACGTGTTTGCACTCTTAGAGAATAACACAGACTTAAAAACCCAAATCCCAGTTTTACACTTATTGAACAGGCTTGGAAGACCTTGAAAGGTTTCTCACACGCCTGTTCAAATTTATAAAATATATTTGCAATTCAGAGCTATGGTTTGTGCTTAAATTCATCTCTAGGCTGAAAAGCACTTTCACAGAATGTATTACACACATGCTGAAATACTTTATGAACCATTCGGGACAGGTGAAACAGGGCCCATCAATAGCTGCATGCCCTGAGGCTGTGCATTCCTGGAGCCCAATCCTCTGAAGTGTTAAAAACAGCTCACACATGTGAGCTTCACCCAGCTTCAAAAACAGGATTGGGAGAGTAAAACACAAATGTGGTAATTGTGCAAAACAAGAAAAGTACCAAATAGATTTGAGGTTTCATTTGTGGTTTTATAAAACTGGAAAATTTTAATATGGCACATAAATCTTGTGTTAAATAAAATGAAATTCAAACAAATGACGAGGCTAAATTATGCATCTAACTGCTCTGTATTACGTTATCAATGTTTTCTATAGCTCTGTATTACCTTATCAATGTTTTCTATAGGAGAAAACTGACCTGATGCCATTATAAACCTCTTTGAAACACACTTGCTTTCTGCTTTTCCTTATTGCTGTAATATCACTCATGTTATCAAAGCAGCTACTGGCTCCTCTCCTTCAATATTATCACAGCTTAATACAGGTAATTGCCTTAAAATTCCAGAATTCCGGCCCTAAACCCTACAAATATATTTATATGCTAAATATGTGTATGTCCCTAACTTCACCAGTGGCGTGTACTTGTATCCACATATGTGAGAAGCATGGAATAACAGAGATAAAAACACATCTAATTAAATGAAGGAGCCTAGGGAAATACTGTCCTAAAGACAATGGGAATTATTTGGGGAGACTGGATGTCTCTTGGAATTTTTTTCCTCTCTATTTAGACTCTGTTAAATACACTACACTCTGATTCGATATTTGTATTTAACATTTTATACCAAAAAAATCCAACTGCAGGAAAAGTGAAATTAAAATTTACCTCATCAAGTCAATCTTCAGGATGAAACAACATCACAAACATAGAAGTACTGTCTTTTCAACAGATAAAATGTGACTTGAAATTTTATATTCTCTGATGAAAAGACAGGAACTGTACATTCAGAACCAAACATTTCTTTCCCCTTCAAACACACAGACATTGGCAATAAACATTTCTTGGTAAAGATATCTTCCTGGTCAGGCTATCAAAGTGAGGGAAAGAACATCTAAAGAATTCCTCAGTCTGATCCTGGTTTTACTAAAAATGTATGATAAAATGCCCCATCAACTTCAGTTATGCAAGAGCAGAACTTCAAATTAATTTCTAAAATCTGTGTAATCAGCAATGTCAAAAACAAGTACTTTCCGAGAGGAAGTGATGCTTCAAAGATGAAATGTACTTGGTAAAGGTATCTACAGGGCCTAGAAAACAGGTTTTGTACCTTTTAAAACTTCATATGAAACTTCATCTGGGAACGACCCTGCTCAGAGAGAGAAGGAACTTTTAGGGGACTAAACAAAAGGAGGACACTATTTTCATATGTTGCAAGCTCAGCCTCAGGGTGTTTTTTAACTATAGCCAGCACATTTTATGCCTTTGTTTAAACAAGCAATGATGTACAAGTAATTCAGATTACATCACAGCAGAAACACGGGCAGAAAGTAAAATAGAAAATCAGGAAAAAAAGCCAGGCCCCTGCTCTAATGCTAATTTATTTTGCTTTGTAAACTAGTTGTGACATCTATTTTCCACTGGCCTACATTGTCTGAGGTTTTGAGGCCTATCTGTCATATTGAGGCAACAGACCCTTTTAGCACTTCACTTTGCTTTGATATGCAGTCTTGTCTCTTCCTTCTCCTTCTTTTCTTCAGGAGTTATATTGCCGGAAAGGGTGATGATTTTCACAGCAAATAAAGAGGCCTTCTCCCAGCTTTATTGTCTTCAGAAGAAATGCTCTGTGAATTTTATGACCAAGGGGAATGGGGAAAACTACTCCTTTTCTCCACCCCCTCAAATCATGGCTATATTTGCTGATTATAGTGCAGCCGGAATAACCTTGTTGAATTTTAACTTGTTTTCAAAGCTCACCTCGAAGGCCTCAGTTCAGAAGGCACCTGAATATCTATACTACTGTTAGCATTATAACTAGCACTTAGGGCAAATATTTCAATGCCAACAATTTGTTCCTTGAAAAAAGAAAACTTAGTTGGATGTTTGGTTTAGTCCTGCAAATTTAGGCAGGAAAATTTTGTATGCTGGAAGTGGAAGTGGCATAGGATTTGGGAAAAGATCTTTAATTATGTGTATTTCAAAATGTCTTAAACTATGTCTACCTCTGTCTTCTGATAAAAATATCACAGTCTGTCCTCAGTGTTGGTCCAAAGTTAAAGAGAACTGAGGAAAAAATATTCCTTCATCTATTTCTGTCCCTTTTTCCTCTGCTAAGATGAAAGAGTCTGGCATTTGTTTAGGGCTTGTAAATTCCAAACCAATTGGCTTGTGTTTCTGAATGTGAAAGGGGTTCTTGATAAGATCTCCTTGTCGCTCCTTTGTGTGGCGTGTGCTTCATCTTAACACCTCAATGGATTTTAGGGAACCACTTTAAAGGAGTCTTTGTCCTACAGTTTGTCCCAGAAGACTCACATCAAAAAAAACTGGGAAGATCAGAAGAAAAAGGAAAACTATCTAGCTGGCTGTTCAAAGTGCAAAAGAGAACAAATAATTTGAAAACTGATCTCTGTATTATTAAATGAAGAATTGTCTTAAAATCATGAGAGAGATATCTTCTAAACATTCACTAATGCTTCTCCTAACAGTATTTATCTAATATATCTAAGAATATTTCTTTTATACATTAGAGATAGGATGATCCTGAAATCCTTTCACAAGTACTTTATTGCCTCATCTTACAAATCGCCGAGTGCCTCCAACTCCAAAGGGAAGCCCAGCAGAGAGCACCCCCGGGAACACCTCCACAGGCATGCAGCACCTTGCACAACTGGACCTTTATGAAAAAATAAATTCAAATTATAACTGAACTTACAAGCATGTCCTGTGGCCACACAAGGAAGGGAAAGCATTTCTAGTAGTACATTTCTTTGTGTTAGAGAAGTGATCTTTAGTAACTCAAATAAAGAATTGGGCCATGGTACAACTAAACAAATCGTGCCTGAAGTTCAGTCTTGGAATCCTGTGTATTTATGCCATCACACACACAGAAGTCACTTCAACGAGCACTGAAATGAACTCCCTTTGATATTAATATAGCCAGCACCACTTATGCATGGCTATGAGTTATTTAAGCTGCTTCAGGGTGTTTATCACTTAAGAGCTTCACATTTAACTATGTGTTTACAGAGAGAGGGAAATAAAGAGGGAAAGACAGTTATGGCAACCAATACTCTCTTACTTCACCCTGCACCTCATATTCCTTCTCTATATCAAAAAAGCAATCCCATGTGAGTACTCCATAGTACTCATCTAATATGTACTCATTTAATGTCATGTAATGTAATGTAGTACTCATTTAATGTTTGTGAAATGTTTGAAGATGCTATGGAAAATCAAATTCAACCTACTACTACTATTTCTTTCCTAAACAGGTAAAACAAGAACAAAAGAAAAGTACCGAGTTGTTTACACAGACCATCAGAGACTAGAGTTAGAGAAGGAATTTCACTGCAACAGATACATTACAATAAGGAGAAAATCAGAACTTGCAGCAAACCTGGGACTATCCGAGAGACAGGTATGGAGAGCTCTGTCCCTGGTCACGTGGCACTACACAGTGCTGCTCTGGGGGACAGGGCAGCACACACTGCTGTACCCCAACGTGCTGTGATACAACCCCAGTACAGCTCCTGAGTCTGACACACACAGAACACACTACACAAATATTAAGAAATAGGCTAATTTGATAGGAACCTCCAATTACAGGTAACTAAACATTAGGAATTAATTTATATTAGGAAAGATATCTACTCATGTTCTAGCCTGCTAGAGAGCTAGAAATGAAACTGTGCAGCTTAGCACTATGTTCCCAACAGTTATCACATTCACAATTTTATTTCTTCTTGCAATCACACAAAATAATAGCCAGAAAACATCCAAAGCACTGGATATTTTTCAGCTGCAAGCCAGGAAAATTAAAACTCGGCAACCAAAGAGCAATCAAATGATATCTCTGTGGGATGTGTTGTTACAAATGTATTGCCACAGTTTTCCTCAGTCAGACCTCAGCATATTCAAGGGGTTTTGACAGTCTTGGATTTTCAAGTCGAGATCCCTTTTCGCTATTATTTTCACAGGTATTTCATAGACAGTAGTAGTTCAAACCTACTGTGTACAGGCTGCTTTAGGCTATAAAATTTGGTGCCAAATCTTTATGCCTATTATACACACAGATGTAGCCAAGAGTATCCATTCAGGGAACGTTCAAGTGCATACTCAGTTCCGTTGCTTTCTTGGAAAGCAGGTCTGTATCCATTCACATCAAGTACATATTTAATCTCTGCCCTGTATAAAGATCATTAGGCACAGACATGCTGTGTTCCTACAAAGACTAGAGGAATTGAAGATAAGAATTCCCTAAAATCCGTGTGTTGGAGAGCACATGTATGAAGCACAGCTCTGCAGTCTGCAGATAGAGCAACTGTTAGACCCAACCCTCCAGCATTGCAATGATTCTGCTACAGCTGGAGCATAACTCGTTGTCAGGAACTGCAGTGATATGACAAGGAGTAATTGGGATAAATTGAAAGAAGGAAAATTTAGATTAGGTATTAGGGAGAAATTTTTTCCAGTGAGGGTGGTGAGACACTGGCACAGGTTGCCCACAGAGGCTGTGGCTTTATCCAACCCTGGCAGTATTCACAGCCAGGTTGGATAAAGCCTTGGGCAACCTGATGTGGTGGGAGGTGTCCCTGCCTAGGGCAGGGGGTTGGGACTAGATGATCTCTAAGGTGCATAAGGGGAGATTTGATGATATTGAATAAGGCATCACATTTAACAACCAGATTAGCCCCCACAGGTAAATTTAAACTAGAGATTTAAATTTAAACTAGAGAATTGTACAATCTTTTGTTCCTTCTGAATATACATTCCCAGCTCCCTAAAATACCCTTCTCCTTCAGTGGCCTCCTCTGCTTCTGCATTGAGTCTGTGCAAGAACATGGAATAGAGAGGCACCAGTGCTGGAAATGGAGTCATGCATAAATAAACAATGGCATTTTAGGATCAAGCACTGAATTTTTATAAACAGATATTAGAGCAGTGATGTTCAATCCCAGATCCCAAGAGTACATAGATTGCACTCCACAGACTGTAAGTGGCCCCAGACAGTAAGAATGAAAACCAAGTCTGTCCTGGATGGATTGAAGTTTGTCATACAGTAGGATAGAGCTGCATTGGAAAATTTTCGGAGAACTGCAATTATGAAAGACTCAAACCCTCCACCTTAATGTTATGCGAGTTGGGTGATTTAGAACACAGACATGCCTGGAGTAACCAGTGATAACTGCATAAAACCAGCAGTTCCCTTTTGCATAGCTGAGGCTCCCAGTGCCACCAGTTTTTAACTGGTGAACTTCCTTCATTACACTTCAAGTACAATGTAGACAAAATACATACTTCATCTGTGTTTCTACAGCACTCATGACAGACAAAGCGAAATGCTTCCTAATGCCAGTACCAGAAAGGTAATAAAAATAAACAGAAAACAATAATGAGATTTTTAATACAAAGCAATGGGACAATTTTATCATATTGTATTCAAAACATCTTAAAGGATATCACAAAAAACTGTAAAGCAGGAACACAAACTTTCTACTCATTCACACAAGGAACAAAAATAGAGATACTTAAAGTAAAAGCAGATTTTGAACAGAGAGAAGACTTTATGCCTGCACAATTAGCCTGAGAAACTGTCATTAAGTAAAGATGATCTATCTATACACAACAATACATATGTTTCTGTAAAATATAGATATAAATATATAGGCCAGTGACAATCAAGATTTTCAAAATGCAGAAGAATATATGCACACACAACATAAACAAAGAAAAAGAACCCTCACTACTTGGATTTGAATTCATCTCTAACATAGAAAATACAGAAATATTCAAAATTACTCCATAAATGCATCTTCCTCCAGTCTGACACACACCATGGCAAAGCTGAGAGGATGAACTTGGTGGCCTCTCAGGCTCAATGATAATGTTGATTCCTGCCTTCCTAGATATAACACAGGACCTTCCCTTCACACTAGATATAAGAAAAGAAAGTCTTTTTCTATCAGTTATGATGCAGAAAATGAATACAGAACAATGCCACAACTTTTCACTGCACAAATTCAGTATTTTGGTTTGTGGTTTGTTCATTTTGGGGTGTTATTTTGTTTGGGTTTTTAATAGTGTTTGTAACATATCTGCATTTTCATTGTGTTATTCCTGTAAATATCTGCTTTGAATTAATCAGCTATAATTTGTAATGGCACAGGTGAAAATCTGGTTCCAGAATCGCCGAGCAAAAGAAAGGAAAATGATCAAGAAGAAAATTTCCCAGTTTGATGGCAGTGGGGGCTCAGCTCAGAGTGACTCTGGGTCACTCAGTCCCAACGAACTGTCCAGCTCTCTGTTCCCACCACCACATGGCATAAATGGATTACAGCCTAATGACATTCAGCAAGTCATAGTTTTAGAATGAACAGAGGAAAAAAACAATCAGGAAAAAAGAAAATCAAGACTGGATTTCCCCACCACTGCCCCCAGCCTTGAGAACTCAGCTTTGCAAAGGAACATGCAAATTTCACTGCCTGATTTCCATGTATGGGATCTGGGACTATTATAAAAATACTTTAATTATTGCAGAAGTCTCAGGGAACTTGTGCTGCTAAGATTCATCTCTCAAAATCTTTGACTAGCAGGTAATTTGCTTCAGATATTGACATGGAGAATGACACAATTGAAGATCCAAGTAAATGTAGTTCTAGTCTGATCATATATGTCTACAGAAAACTAAGTGAACTGATTATAAAATAGAGAACTATTGCCTAAACTCTGAGAAGCTGTGGGGGTTTGGGTTGTTACAGTTATATAATTAGAGTAAACTGTAGATGTTAATAAATATTCACACTTAAATGTACTGAAAAAATGCTACTTTTGGAAAACAACAGAATCACTTAAAACACTTTTAAACACTCAAGAAATATAGCAATGTTGCCAGACCAACATATTGCATTTAATTAAATAGCACAAATAATCTTTGCCCCATGTAACTGCATTCAAGCAGGCAATAGTTACAGATGTATAACAAACCAAACGTGCCAAGATTTGTTCCATTGTAGAACATGCAGTGATTTCTCAGGCACCAAATACCAAATAATTTGGAAGATAATTATCACTTCACTCTCCAATTACTGCACATATTACTGCTCAAAAATATGAGCACAAATGTAATGGAAACAGCACTGTTACTACCAGCAACCACCAAAAAGCAAATAAAGAATTTGCTTAGTGTCTCTAAATATTTGAAGTGAAATAGGAGCAGCCTTGGGCCACTGATTTTACACATGACACTTATTTTGGGGTGAAGGCAAGAGGGAAGCTGACTGTGTATTTTGAAGCACTCACCAAGTGCAGGTATGTAACAAAAGAAGTATTCACTCCATGTGCACTCCTGAAAGAGCACAAATTAAGGATAAACATCCTCCCAATGTGGTTAGCTTTAATTACTGGTCCATGTTGGCAGGTGAGAAGGTGGCAATGCTGCCTAGAAGACAAATGATGAGTCTGGAAAAAATAGAAAAACCAAAGCACTAAAAAAATCCCCAAACCTTCCAGGAGTATCATTCATTGGAATTCCATAAGAGCTTTTTGATAGCCTACAAGTAAAGAGCTCTATTGGAAAAACTTAATACTGCTGAAAAGGTCAAGAGGAACAAGGGTAATAAAAAGCAAAAAAAGCAGAAAACAGACAGAAAACAGTATTATGTGGCACATGGAAAGTCATGCATCACTTATTTCAGCAACATCAAACTCTTGCTCTCAGAAACAGCAGATCAAATTCTGCTTTTCTTCACGTCAATGAGCATTGAGAATGCACTGAACAAATGGACAGAACTTGTCAAAGTACTCAGCATTGGGATTCAATACATTAGATAGATTTGAAGATGTGCCTCACTGTTTCTCAACTGTTTAAAAATAACTCTGTTTGAGCACCCCCATGAAAGCAATTTTATTGGGAGTTGCAAGAATAACACTCTTCAAAAATAAATTCTGAATTATATATTTGTAGACATAAATGTCCCCAATTAAAGTAAGAAATCCTGTAATGCAAGGTAAGAACTTACTCACTGTAAGCATTTTGGGGGTTATCAATGGCATAGGGAGAGTAAGAGAAAACTTTTTTCTAGTTTTCAGATTTTTTTTTTTCTGGGATCAGTTTTTATATCCACAAGACAGAATGGCAAGTAAAGGGCTATGACATAAAACGCATCAGTCATTATATTTGTGTTCTATAAATGCATTGCTTAAAATTTCTTTCCTTCTTATTTACATCAAAATGGAAATAAAAAACTTACGTGCTTATTTACCAGGTCGACATTCAACATATTCAAAATCATCATCTTGCAGATGCTAAACAAGCTGCAGTGTAGCTTTTAGACCTGCCAGGCAGGCAGGAAACACCACACTGCTCTGACAGACAAGCCACTGACTGCACTTCAGAACCACCACAGTTCAGAAAGGAATCATTTAAAACGAGCCTGTTTTAGATGTCAAATGGGAGTTGGAATGGGATACAAAGCACCTCCTATGGCATGTTTAAAATCAGTCAATAAAAAGTGTTTTTCATGATCCACACCCTGAATTTTTCCACCAGATGTATTTTAAATGTATCCAAAGCATATATTAATAAATATTTGGGGGAGACAGATTCTTTCATGCATTAGATAATGATATCTAAGCCTAAAAAGTGTATCAGACTATCTTCTCTGGCTGCAGATTAAGTCACATAAGAAGTTATTTCCTTTATCTTGTACTGTGCATAACTCCCCTCATCTAGATCATGACGTTCCTTTAAGTGCAGTGACAGCTGTTTCTCAAAATAATCCAAAGAAAACAATTATTACACTCTTTTACAGTTCAACTTTTAGTAAACTCAATCAGAGAGCTATCAGCCATGCAGTCACTGCACCAGAACAGGAGGCTGCTCTGCCATGAAGAGGGGAAGCAGGAAGCAGCTGAAAGCAGGAAATCCTCACTGTGTCTATGATAGGGCTTGGCCATTGTCTGATTGTAGCCTATGCCTATGCCATTGTCTGATTGTAGCCTATGCCGTGGTTTTTGCCAGAAAACATAATCCCAAATCGAAATCCAACTTAGAACTACATGCTGGCACTTTACAATGGCCCACTGAAGACTACAGAGCAGCCTGAGAGGAGTCCATCCTACACTCATGTTCTCCCAACAACAGCATGGGGGCAACAAGGATCAGGACATGCAGTGGGAGCAACACAGCCAGTGTCCCCACTGCCGTCCTCCTTTCTGGGCAGCTGTGTTTGACTCTTCAGCATTGCTTATGTAAAGGAAAAGCTTCAGAAGATGTGATCAGCCCTTGTCTTTGATTTTTGTATTTACATGGGTGAGACACTAAAGACTATAAATAACATTTTGCAATATTTATCTTTCCTCCTTTGAAGGCTTCTCCAGGGACTTCAGTTAGACTCTCCCTTAGCACCATTAGGCAATTAAAATAATAACAAATAAAATGCCATCCTTCTCACCCAGTGGGTATCTTCCCCAAGCTCTCTGAGCTTCCTGTGTGTTTCACTTTATGCAAACAGAGGACCATCATCACACTGTTTAAATTCAGCTGTTTGATTGGTTTCGAGTTTGCAGAGTAGTGAGCTGCTTTTACACCATGCTGATATCAAAAGCAAACTCTGCATCACACAACTGTCTAATTCCAGCAGCCAGCAAATCCCTTCTGGCATTTATCTGAATCATCTTTATTCTTATGAGACTACTGTAGAGGTGCCCAAGCTTTGGGAATGATTTGCCCTTCTCAGTCCCACTGTCTATAAATACTTAATCAAGAAGGAACACTTTGCCACAAACTGTTCATGCTGACACTCAATGCAGCACCACAGTGATTTGGCTTTATTAACTAACTTCTAAATATTGATCTGTGGGAGAAAATAAAGAAAAATACAGATTTATCTGTAGTTACAGTAATGACAGTTTGGACTAGAAATTGGAAGGGACCTCATTATAAGATATTTAAAACACCAGTTTACAGAGATGAGATCATAACTCAAACCCCCAACTGGCTGTTCACAGTAGTCATACAGGTCAAATAAAAACCTGGATCAGAAGTCTGAGAACCTCTTGAAACTTAGATTACTTTTGAAAATTGATCTACATCTATCAGGCACTGTCAGTATATGCAGCACAGAGCTGCACACCCCTGCACAAAGCCAAAAACCTTCTGACATGACAAAATGTATCACGAAACCAGTTTCATTAAACCTCTCACATCACTCTTGACTTGCCTTTCTTCAACAAATGAACAAATCCCTATTGGCCTAATGAGTTACACATTTCTACTTTAAACAGCACAATGTGAACGTGCAGTGAGATGCAACTCAGCTTGGGAAAAGAGTTTATATTAGCTGATCAAGAAACTTTGTTTGATCACCAGCCTTAAAACACATTCTCCAAACTCCAAGACTATTCTTATAATACAAACTCTTCCTTTGCTGAAGCACACAAGTGTCTGAAATGAGTGAATTCTGACAGCCAACAGGACATTACTTGTATATTTTTCCTTCTGAAGAATGATCAGGTGGTGGTGATTTATATGGAACAAACAGGGGAAAAACACATGGAAGAGGGCTCAGAATCTCTCAGGCCCACATTAGCATTCACTTTCCATGTTCTCTCAATAGAGCTTTTATTTAATACTGGGCTTTGTTTTAACTCCTGTCTTTCCTGCACTCTTTTTGTGGTTTATGCTCTAGATAAGAACACCTTTGATTCCAAGAAGGGACGTGACTTAGGTGGATAAACATTGCCAGAGACCATCATCCATTCACAAATCATTTTTTTATGGCATAATTCTTTCACTAAATAAACAGCATCCTAAAAAAGCACTGAAAATGAGGCTTCTAAAGATTTCTTCCTGAGAAGCCATAATGTTTGATAAATCGTACTGAAAAAATTCCCTGTAGTATTTCCATCTGAAACCCAACACTAAGCAGGCATTCTTCACAGACAGACCTGGGTTACAAAAGGGGCTTTTCTAAAACGGTCTGTTTTTACCCAGATAGTCATCATTCCTATAGGAGAGAACACATACACACGCACACACAGACACACAAAGTCTACTGAAACTTCAGCTGAACTTTGGCCTCGATCTATTATTTAAAAACCACAAAACATTAAATATGAAGTTGATACAGCAAAGTACCTTTTCCAATTAAAGAGACTTCTTTTTGTGGTTTGCTAATACCACAGACACTCATTATAAAGAGGTCACACTGTATACTATGCCAAAACTACACTTCCTCATTTTACATTCCAGTTCAGCAAACTATTGTCCCACCTGTTTCAGTTCATGTCTTAATCCCATCACACGTGCCCTTCTGCCACAATTTTAATAAAGCAGAACACAAGCTGCATTAAAATACAGCCTTTTCAATTAAA